GTCTGGGTCCTAGCATTAGCCTTAGCCTAGCCTAGCCTAGCCTGCCCTAGCATTAGCACTTACCTAGCGTTGCTAATGCTATTGCCATCACTACTGAAGCCTACTTAAGCTGCGGTACGCATGCAAGAGTGACTTGAATGTTGCTTCATAGTATCAACAGAGAAACAAAATTCGCTAGAGTAGCGAGCATAATAAGTGATGGCAACATATTTTAGCGAAAACACTCCATCAACTTGTGAGTCGAGACAGAAGCGAAGCAATTAAACTTATCCTACTCGTACCCCAGTGACACCCACATAACTCAAGCACGTATAGTAAGGGGGCAAGTCATTTTCCTGCATCCATCGAGCCACATCAACACCGATATCCTCCTGTCTGTCGTACAATTTTAGTCGTAAAACGCCTCGAAAAAGAAACACTCTCAACGGCAGCTCGAATGTTTGCATCTACGCAAAGTCCACAAAATATCAGCGATGGACCGTGGGTAGTCTGTCACCAGTATGACGCACCTTCATATCCTTGACAATACTCATCACCATAGACTCATAAACCAGATTGTTGACAGATCCATCCTTTGCCACTTCATAAAATGCAAATGATACTCGTTTCGGAGAATACGTGGGACTGCCAGGATACCAAAACACTCGGTACGGCACAATCTGCACACTGTTCACCAAGCAATTTTCCTGCAACGCATAGTCAAGATAATCCGTCGTTAAATATCCCCACGTTGACGCACTGATACACCCAGTATAACCATTAGTAAGAATAATTCGATAAATATTCCCCTCCATTTTCAAACCTGCTCCAGTAACAAGGTCGTCCTCTAGCACATCCACATTCCAGTTGGAGCCTCTTGGCGATGGCTTCGAAAGCCGAAGGGTCATCTGCTACAACTGTATTAGAGAGCAGAGCAATTCCAATACCACAATGTGATCTCGTCAGCGTATTGTCAGCTGACTCGTTCGCGTGATCCACTGAGGAATAATCTGCATACAAGCAGCCATGCGTGAGCGTCTATGGTCTCGGCATCATAGGTTTTATCTCGAACCTCGAACTTGACTCAGCATTGACAACTCCTCGCTCACAGAATAATATGTCAGTAGCGTTAGACGCTTCCAATCTGCGGAGCTTCGGGTGCTGCTATCATCAGCAAACAACGTTGCGTTCTGTGCCAGCCCTCGCCAAGATTCTGTCCATTCATTGTTCAAAATGGACCATGACCGTCAGTATACCTGAGAGACGTACCACAAATGACGATTGTATCCCTCAAACGACGACTCACTGTCTCAAGATGCAGCAGACTCGTGTAGTCAACGAACCGGAGCGTCGCCGCTAGCAAGTCGCTCGGCAAATCTGTCAGTCGCATGCTGTTGTGTAGCGTCTGCGACAGCCAAGTTGAACCTGCATTCCAAAGTTTGCGGATTGAAATTTGATACTAAATCATTCATGACGTACAAAAATGTTTGTATTAGCCGAGTTGCAGTGCTGATCAATTATAAATCCAATAACTTCTTACTACCCAAAGCGCAAAATGTTGGTGTCCATCAATACGAGCGAATCAAGACGCCGCATTACCTCTGACAGTTACTAATTCTGCGACATCGTCCTCTCCGGAACCATAATAAATATGATGCTCTATTTTGCTAAATATTGTTAAATGCAGATAATTTGCCGGAATACGGCAAGTTATTGTCCGAGATTACTTGTGATACTGGTGATATATGTATGTCGATATTAATTTTTTTTCAAACTTCAGGTAGAGTCTGTATAGAACACAGCCTAGTTGTCCCAACGATTTAAGGCCTGGCGAAGCATCCGCTGATATTGCGACGAAGCAGCACGCTCTTTTTCAAGCTCAACTCGAAGGCGCTTTATCGTGCCGACCATTTTGTACTCGCTGACTGCTCGTATCGTCCCAAAACTTTTTTGTATGCTCTGTCTCGTGACTGGCACTGACTGCTTCACAACAGGATAATCCCGCTTGATGCTTGGACTTGGATCCAGCCACTGTTTTGAAGTCAACAAGCGCGCAAAATCTACAAGGCTCGAGCCAATTCGCCTGCTCGTTGGGTAGTATATAGTGATGTCGCTTATCGTTTCGAAATAAGTCATATAGATCTCTTTGAAAATTGCTCGCCATGGCAGCAATTCGTCTGCTTCTCGAGGTGTTACCTTCTCTGTCATGCCACTTTCAACTAATTGCTCGTGAATCGGGAGAATTACGGAGTAAATTCGTTTTTTTAGCTCATACGTCGATACTGATGTGGCTGCTACATTTGACAGGAATAATTGATCGATAAATTCTTCTACTTTCTTAAAGTAAACGTCGCAAGTCTGGTCACGGTCCACAGGAGAAGTCTCAGCGACGATGCGAGTTTCTTCAAGAGCTGTTAAAACAGTTTGTATCTTGTCTCTTCGTTCTTGAAAATTCCAACCATGCTGAGGATCCATAAAAGCACATTTCATCTCCGGTGGTATATATACAAAGTCCATAATTCCAGATGATAACAAATCTTGATGCACGCGGGGAAAGAAAGCACAAATTCTACTTTGAGTATTTATTGACGACTCCAATCGGTTCAATACAGCATCGGTAGTATCCTCTAAAATCTCCTTCATGCCAACGCTGTCTATATGAGGAAAGGGGGGAGACAATTCTGCTACCCTTTTAAGAACTTGGCTGAACTTGAGCGAAAGAAAGCATCCTGAATCAACGAGCTCGACACTGACGTAACCTACCTGCGCCTGAAACCGCAGCTGCGCGCTTTCTATACAGCTTTTGAAAACGCGCAATAGTTGTGCTGCCGACGACTTTATTTCGACCGAAGCGAATCCGACACCAAAAACAGTTACACGACATCCAGTATCCAGCAGCGACAACAGATCCACAATCTGTTTTTCGTAGCTAGCAACATTACCAGCTTGCTGTAGTGTACTAAGATCAACAGGAAGTAAGATTGCTGATGTTGCAGCAAGCTTGTACTGTTGTCTTTCGCGCGTGTTCCGGTGGGTAAATGTCGAATCAAGATATCGACTACATACAGCAACGCCTTGTGATACATCACTGCTCGAACAATACAAGCGATAACAATCGCGTTCAGGTGTTGAAACATCCTGTGCTCCTGCTCTGACCGCACACCACAAACCAAAAGATGACGAGGCATTTTCCAATAGGTCAGCAATCACAAGCTTCCACGCGACATAAGAAGCTCCAATATTTTGCCTACGAATACAGGGACCGACCAGTTTTAGAATATCTTCCGTTTGCCAGAGTGATAACAGTTCTGCTGTTGAGAATGACACTGGCTCTTCAGCCTTTGGTATCGGCTTCAGTCGCTTCGTTCCAATCAAAGGAATTGGTGAATTTAGAAATAGCCACTGCATACTGTCTTTTGCCCTTTGATGAGGCTGTAGAAGTTGGAGCCTTGACGCTATTGAGATAGGCCCAGGACCGTCGCGTGACGCTTGCACATAATTCTTCCACATATAAAGCCTCAGCTTCATCACCGCTAGTCGTTGCTTCTCTTCGCGGCGCAATCTTTTCTTTTCATCTCGCTCTTTGGCCAACTGCGTTTGTCTTTGCGCTTCAAAAGCAGCCACTCGAGCTTCACGTGCACGAGCTTCTGCAGCTTCTTGCTGTCGACGTCGTTCGCGCTCCTTTACCGCATTCTGGAAAGCCTCTTCTTGCATTTTTTTTTCTTTTTCACGACGCTCTTCTTCAATAGCCTTTTGCCGCAAAGCCTCTGCTCGTTGCAAAGCTATTTCTTGTTTTCTCCTTGCTTCCTGAGCTGCCTCTTCAGCTTTTTTGCGCAAATCCTTTTCTTTTTGCTGCTTTTCCTGATCGCGCAGCTGAGCTTCATAAGCTTTTTGAAATTGCTTTGAATCTTCTTCATCCTGACTCAAAGCGGTAGCTTCCACATTACTATGCACTTGACGCAGCGCAGTTTGGTCACCGGCAACATTTATTGCTTGCTGACGCTGCGTTTTTTTCTCTTTTACCCTTTCCAGCTCATGCATACGCTCTAGCATTGCCAACTTCTTACGCTCAAGCTCTTTCTTCCTCTCTGCGATTGCATCCAGTTCAACCTTTTTTAGTATTTGTTGACTGGATGGCATGTTGGCACGAGAGCTCACTGAGGCAGGTTTTGAGGCTCCTTGATTACAGTTGACAAAAAATGAATAGTCGTCTGCATACGGAGGCTTTTCTGGATACAGTTTTGCCTGTTCTTCTCGTTCAAGATCTTGAATAAGCTTGCTTAAGGCAGGATATTCATTTCGAGCATATTCAGTAACACCCCGGCAGATATCACGTCGCAAATTATTGCTGAAAATTTTACGAAAACATAGTTGCGATAAAAATGTAAGTTAAGTCCATTTAAAAACGACACAAGTAAACTGAGCACACACCCTTGCTTCATTCCCACATAAATTTTTGAGCTGCGAGTCTTCAGCGGCGTATTGTTTCGTCGCAACTGAGCGTCTACAAGGCATGAGTATTTCACAATGAAAGTGTTACTTTGTGTCGCACAATGGACAAAGAAGATAATCTTCATACCTGTTTCGAACTCGCCCCCGAACTTGACAGTTATGACAGTGTCATCGCCTGAACCAGGGCTCCCAGATAGCTGTAATCGATGCTCTCGGCATACAGAATACGCGTGATCAATATCATCAAAGCAGAGCTGCTCCACTAAATCTTCTAGTGGATATGATTGACTACGATAAGCCCGATTCATACGAAGCAAAGCTGATGACCGAACGTTTGAAATATACCGAAAGAGCAAACACGACTGCAGATAAGTTGCTTGCCGAAGAAGTGAGAAAAACTGGTAATAGTCCCCCGTATGTCGCGCAACGAAGACTCGCATCGCAAAATTTAGGTGAACACTTTCCATGATATGAACTGGCAAATTCTTCACATACTTCAATACGTCCATACCTCGACCATTGTCCAGAGTGCAAAGGATAAAATACGCACGAAATTCGGCCTCAAATGGACTACAGTAAGCTGGATTGCTTATCTTGTGGCTCTCATCATAAAGTTCGTTCAGGGACTTGAGCGTCTGCCCAAGCTGCTCCATATTTTGTTGAGCTACGAAGCTTGGAGTCTCAATCAGTTCATGCTCACTAAGAATGTGATAACGTGCGATACGCTCGTGAACGTCAAGCACGATAGGGTGCACTCGACCCCCTGCACCGCGATAGTTTTGCAAAACAAAATCCTTGCGAATCATTCGAAAGCGATCCCAGCAAAAATTGTATAATTCAATAGGCTCCGGCACTCGAGGCGTCTGAAACCGAGGATCTATGCCACACTGATCAAGATCCATGATAGCTTGTTCAATATACAATTGCGTACGTCGAAGAACACCGGGTGGTCGAATCTCCTCCGATATATCCAGCTTATGATCGGCCGAACTCCGCTGAAATCGCTTGATTATCATATCACGCTCGGTACCAGGCCGATCAGGGAAACTTTTTTCAAACACACTTAATTCATCCACACGAATATGCAACTCCCGTTCTGCTTGGCTACACATCTCAGCACATTGACCGTCCAAATTAGTAGCAGCTGCCAGCTCGGCTTTGCAACTACCTTCGTTTTTTAAAGTAGAAAAGTCGGACGGCATCGGAATAAATGAATCATCGCTCGTACTTGGCGCTTTCTTCTTTAGTCGATTGTGCCGTTGCTTTCTAAGCTTTTCTTTCGTTGCGCTCGGCATTGGTGCCCTGGTACCCATCAAACCATCCCCACCCCCTAAAGGCTTGACGCTATCATTAACATGACTATGTTTATCAGAAGGATGCGCAATTGAGACCTCTCCAGAGTCTTCAGCAAGTCTACCTTTATGACGAGGTAGCTTTCCCAAGCCAGCCATTTGCCCATCCAAAAGTGCTAAATTCTTTTCCGACTTTACGACTGGAGCTGCGCCCGATTGCACCTTAGAATTTCGTCGTTTATGACCAAATGCAGTGGTATTGACCGCACCATTAAAATTGGAAGGATTTCCAAAGGATGGAAAAGAAATAGAGCTTGTTGTCCCGGATCCACCGCCGAAAGTTGTACGAAAATCCAATTTATTTGTGGTTCCATCAACGCAAGCTGGAGATGCGAATGGATTATCTGCATGCATGGACGATAACGAATGAGAGGCAATTGGTTTCTGTTGCACATGAGCCCCCATTGGTGCTTGTGCATTTAGATTGCCAAGTTTGCCACTCGAATCGTGAAAAAGAGTATCTCGTCTGTGTTTTGATGTACCGAATACTGTCTGCCCCGTATTTAAGTTTTGATTCGAAAAGTTCGTACTTTTACCAAATTTTGCTTCGTTCCGACCAAATCTTTGATTCGCAGGTTGTTTGTTACCGTTTGACGCAAAACCAAACACTGTGGGTGTACTTGCCGACGAGGAGAAATGCTGCAAACTATTATTTCTCGAGGTTGTCGAATTAAATGACCTAAGAGTATCAGTGTGCACCTTGTCCACGCTGTTGCATACCCGTTCGAAAAATACGTCGTTTGTTGATACTCCACCAAACTCTCCCGATAGTGATGAAGGTTGTCCTACTAAATTTCCAGCTGAAAAAGGTACATGACTACCGAATTTGCTTCCTGGATTTCCCATTATGCCACCTGGAGGAAGCGGTGGCTGGCTTCGAGACCGAAGATCATGCCCAAAAGTTGTCTTTAAAGCTGGAGCAGGATTATTGGCTTGGAATGGGTTAAGCATAACCGGTCCTGAACAGGAGAAGGCACTCATCAATACCCCGAACTCACAAACTAGCCGCACGTTAAGACGAACGCTTGACGCTCTTCACACGGTCTGTTCATCCACCCGCGCTAACTGCAATAATAAATGTAACTACTAATCTTTCGTACCTAGGTTCTGGCTGGAGGGATTACCGCCTCTTCCCGCAAAATATTCGAAGCCATCGTTTCGATCTGCAAAAGGTATTGAGAGCGCATATAAGCAGTGAACTTAACAACCATAGCATCTAGTCATAATTATCATGGCGGAATCTAAGGTATGAAGAATAAAGAACCCACTGCTGGAGCCGAACATCGCGAAGTCGTCGATAAATTAACCTGCACGTCCCCCCAACAAACTTTGAGCGGGACAGCCAGTTCTAGACTTCGCTATCATATGTACATAGTAAGGTACGTCTCGCCAAAAATAAGGTTTTACACAATTATTTAGATGAGGTAGCGCACATATAGTTTTATTTTGTGATATGATTGGCTGTAATTAATTTTTATAGTGAGTGCCGAGCACCACCAGTTCTCGCATCGCTGGCTGTTGAGCTCCAAGTTCCAAATTGCCCTCAACTTTTTCGTAATAAGGTATACACGACGCCCCTCATGGAAGCGTAACTCGGATTAATCTTCCTATCTATGTGTAATATATTTAGTTGAAAGATGGTGAAGCACAACAACGTCGTCCCTAACGGTCATTTCCACAAGTATTGGGAGTCCCGAATCAAGACTTGGTTTGACCAGGTATGGAATATTCTTTGTATTTTTTTAACATCAGCCAGTCCAGCAGCTAGTATTTAGCTCAAGATGGACAAGGTTATCAGGTCTACTTGACGTTGAAGCACCGATAGTAAAACCGGAAACAACATTGAGCCATTGACCATTAGTTGCTTGGCTGGCTGCTTCAGCAAGGATAGCAATTTACTTAATTTTGCTCTTATAGGCTGCCAAAAAGAAAACCCGTCGTCTAAGACGTAAGGCTAAAGCAGCTGCTGTGGCTCCGCGTCCCGCGGCTGGTCTGTTGCGCCCTGCCGTGCACTGCCCAACGATTAAATACGGCTCTAAAGTTCGTGCAGGTAAAGGCTTTACTTTAGAGGAGCTGAAGGAGGCTGGTATCAACCGCAAGCAGGCCATTAGCATTGGAATTGCTGTTGACTTCCGTCGTACCAACAAGTCGGTCGAGTCGCTTCAGGCTAATGTGCACCGCCTTAAGGCTTACAAGGCCAAGCTAGTTGTTTTCCCACGCAAGAATAACAAGCCAAAGAATGGCGATGCCGTTTCCGAAGATGTGAAGAATGCCGTGCAACATACCGGACCGATTCTTCCAATTACGCGCTCGAGCGTCAAGTCGACCACAGCTATCATCACACCTGAGATGAAGGAGAAGAGCGTTTTTACGGAACTGCGTGTCGCTCGAGCTGACAAGCGCATCTTTGGCAAGCAAGCTAAGCGTTTGGCGGACAAGAAAGAGAAAAAGTAAGTGTTGTCGGCGTCGACATTTGCTTGCGTGCCCTTTTTCAAGAGGAACGGCACTTCGTTAGGTCTGTTGCGAAAACTTGGAACAATACATAGCCCAGCTCAAATGTTCTGACTTCCACTTGCACTATTTAAAAGATTATGCTTAATCATCCCTGTTTAGACAAACCAAGTTAGACTATATGCATGAGTTTAACGCTGTATCGAAATCTGATTAGATACTTTTGTTGTTCAGAATAAAAGTGCGAAAGCGATAGTGTCAGTACAGCGATTTTTGCTGCTCGTAAAGCTTGAGGCATTTTTGCTGGCAGCTTTATCAAATCAGCAGATCTTACACTTTAGACCACGATTGGCATGGATTAGTCGTGCCGCACTTTTGCCATCTGTCATTTAGGTGTGGTGAATATCCACTCAGTCTAAATGTCTGCCTTTGCACTCGCGCAGTGCATTTGACTCATGATTAAAGTCGAAGGGTGGACCGCGTGGCGACAGGCTACGATTAAAAGATCAGATGAAACTTGAAGTTGCGCTTGGCAGACTGTTTTCTACCAGCGAGATTACATAACTCAGAGTGAACACATCGTTCGAATTCGCAGTTACGTCGACGAATAATCGAAAACGCTAGACGCAGCCAGGATTTCCGCAGTAACGTCGTCGTGCTAATTATCATTGCAAGACTCATGCGCTGTGTTAAGTGTCGTTTCTGATACACTGGTTACTCGGCTCAAAACATACAGATCGTGATCAAATTGCCGTTGTAGTGAGTTTGTAGCCTATGTGGCGCTTCTACGCCAATAAATCAATGAAGCAATGTCGCGTGAAAAGCTACATCGTGGCGTTTGTTTGTTGACTAAGCGTACAAGAATTTTGGGTGCCACCAACCACTTCCTCGTCAACACGTACGTTATTTAAACTGCACCATTCACTAGTCGTGAAAGCTGGAGACAGCAGACTGAGCAGATGCTGATCCAAGACGAAAGAGTAGAATCTACGGCTAGAGCGTTATGGTCCAATCGGTACGGTTCAATCTCGGATGAAAGAGAAAAGAGATGTCGGAAAGCTTCCTTGGTGCAAATTAAGACTGTTACTACTATCTCATTTATGAGAAGTGTTGTGAGCACAATGGAAGTGACTTTTTGCGCGACATTAAGACATTGAGTCACCTAAACTTATCTTACTTACGCCACTGGGGATATAGCGTGCGGCATTGTCAACTCATACGCCATGCTGTTGAAATTATTTAATTATGCTGACATCAAATTTGATTGATCGACAAAACTTCATTTTTTCGCATTGCTGCTCACATGTCTCGATGGTGAAAAGTTTCTTTCAGTTTGCTGCTTATGAGAAGGATCGTTAAGTGAAATTACCACGCAGACTCAGCTTAATTTGAGCTTACGGGGTTAGCGCTGATCAGCCAGTTACAAGGTTATAGATATTTTTGGCTACCAAGCTGAGAATCGATCAGTCTCCAAGAAACCTCCTGTCAAATTTATCAGTCGTGAACTATGACCGACACTGATAGCGACGACGAACTTATGAGCCGCCTGACAAGTATGGGCACGGGTTTTGCGACTTTTTGTGAAGATTGCTCCTATTGCGCTTCTCCGAATGCTTTGCTCCCGTGCACCATTTGCAACAAAGCCATTTACTGTGGTGAGGCAAGTGGGCGCGGTTGAAAAGTTTTTTTTCGTGATGATATTTAGAATTATTTAATATGCAGATTTGCAAGAGAAGACACGCCCCTGCTCACCGCAATTATTGTATTAAGCTAAGAATGGAGCAAGAGGCGGCTGAGGAGGAGGAAGAAGAGTCGGGAGAGGAAGAAGACGAAAGTAATTCGGAGAGTGAGGAGGTGACTCATGCTTCACTTTCGGCAAGTTATAAAGCTAGTGAAGGGGGCATTGTTCGTGGTCTATCCCCTGTGCAAATTAAGAAGTTGCTGAAGCTGGCCACAGAAGCGGATTCAGTCAAGTGTAATCCGTCGATCGTGAAATTGCAGCGGCAAATGTCACAATTAATGGCGGACAAGATGAATGGAGGAACGAGAAGAAGAGGAGTTTCTGGAAGTTATAAAGAGATTCAAGCTCTGCAGCTTAAATTTAGTGAGCTTGAAAAGAAGACTGATAGCATGGTTTATGCTCCCCAGATCGGACCCGTAACGACAATGGTAAGTAGTGTGCTGTGATGGAAGACGCAATTTTGACCGTATTGTTTAATTGAAGAGTATGAACATGCCAGTGGAACAGATCAAAAGCCAGATGAAAGCTGGCGGTATTAATTCTGATCTCATGGGCAAGATTGACACCGTTAGCATTGGAACCCCAAGTGCAATATTTTCGAAAGAAGTAGTCGTACGTTTAGCCAGTTGTGTTTTGTGTATATGACATGACAGTAAGTTTGTGGGAACCTTGTTGCTGGCAGTCTGAGAAAGATACATATATCGCAATGACTGTGGCAGATGATCCGTTATATCAGAAATACTTCAAATTAAAAAAATTGAGCATGCCAGTGGAACAAATCAAGCAGAAAATGAAGATGGATGGCGTAGACCCAACACTTTTGGATGTCCCAAACAGCATTTCACCAAACGATCCCGGCGTACGTATATATGAACTTTTACCAAGTTACGATTTGACGATGATGTTGTGTGTGCTCTGTAAAGCCATCGTTAGATAAATCATTTGGGTCCGTGTCGAATGGGATAGCACCGCCTTATCCGCTACAAATGACAAATGGGGGGTCTAGCTGGCCTTTCATGCCTGCCATGTGTCCTGCTGCTCCGTATGAACCATTAAATGTCAAAGATGATCCGAAGCTTCTGAAATATTTCAAACTGCGAAAACTTGGAATGCCCGATGAACAGATTAAGCTCAAGATGAAGGCGGACGAGATTGATCCTACGCTTCTTGATCGGCCGGATGATGTATCGCCTTACGATCTTGGTGTAAGTTGTCATATGATATTGTGGAAATTGCTGCAGCTCCTTTAATTGTATCATTCTTGATCTGCTTGAGGCAGTCATCTGCTGAAAAGCTAGCAATTTCTTCTGGACCTATCTCAATGGAGCAGCTCATCAGTATTCTAATGCAGTACCAGCACATAATTCAACAAGGTGGGTTAATGCTTAGGCCACCTCGACTGTGATTGCTGCAACTCACATACGTCCATTTGTGCTTCGTTAGCATCAGATAGAGGAAGTCCAGTCGGTGCTGTCCGTAGTCACAATGGTAGTAATTTTGGTGCGCTTAATGTCAAGCCCCTACCATCAGTTGAAGATCAAATGGCTCAAGAACTAGCAGCCGCAGAGAGTGCCATTGACAGCATTTTCGGCGACGACTCACAGCTGTCAAAAGGTCATGGCGGTCTAAGTATGATTGAACAGCTAGAGAAGAAAGCACGGATGGAGAGTAATAAGAAACTTGTAGAGAATCGAAAGGAGGTAAATTGTCTAGTCGCTGAACTCCAGTCGACATTACTTACTACCGATGAAGAGGCGATTGCCTTTTTTAAAATTATCACTCCCAAGCTAGAAGAATATGGGCTTGCTTTGGGACCTGATGTAGATCAGACTTGGTCGTCGCGTTTGCTTATTAAGAACAAGGAGACACGTGATTGGTATTTTACAGAGCAAGAACGGCTGGATGCTGGTAAAGCATACGGACGGCTGTGGGGGCTTTCTTTTTTGGAACGTGATGCTGGTCAATTGATTGCGAAGCGTAACCAAATTCTAAACGCCCCAGCTACAATGCGAGCAATTGTCAAAGGAAAACCAGAATTGATCGACAAATTTACGCAGCTACTGAAGGAAACAGTAAAGCTTAAGCATAAGATATTTAAAAACTCCTTGTATGCGGCGGAAGTGCGACGACTGCAAACATTTAGCATTCCCGAGCGCCTAGAGGAAAGGGGAACGGAACTCATTGATTCTACAACGCTTTTGGCTCATGTCTCGATGGATTTGGCTGAAGAAGAATTTCGATTGCTCGAAAATGTCACACGAGCTAAAAAATTACGAGCGGTGGCCGCAGTGCATGTTGTCGAGAAAGCAGTGGTATTAGTCGGCATCGTAAAGAAGATTGGTGCGAATGGAGTCAACGAGACTCGGCTGCTGAAACTTGAGTCCGAACTAGCAAGGATCAAAGAGCTGTATTTATCAGGTGAAAAGGCAGAAGAGGAAGAAGACGATGTGCTGTGAGAAGAGACTGACATGTGTGGTAGAGTTTTCTCAGCTAATAGTAGGTAACTTATATTGCATTCTTATTTCTCAAATTGCTAGTCACTGTTCTTCTAATGTCGAATTTGACCGAAAAGCGAGCGGAACAACTCATCAACATCCATCTCCGGTGTCGGATAGGGCTCTGGAAACATAAAGTTTTCCAGCTTAGGGTGCACTGTGTACCGCAATTGACGGCCTTTGCTTGCTTTGCGATTCACGAGTTTCTTCTTCTTGCGGTGGGTGCGCCTTACAATTGCGTCTTGGTTAGCGCCCCCACCATTTTCGATATATTCCTTAAGAAGCTGCTGGTAGAAGTCCGAGTCGTCATACACGAGCTCGTCCAGTTGGTCTTCTTCTCCCCCTACTGCCTCAGGTGCTTTAGCATCTACTGGCGCATGGGCCTTTCGCTTCACTCGCTGAGGATCAACAAGCACCGACTCAACCTGGGTTAGAATATCCTGATTTACAGCCTTAAACTTTTTGCCTTGGTTATTCTTGCCTCCAGCTAATAAATCTGTCTTGCGCATATATGTGTTAAGAATGTCGTTGTATTGGGGAAGCATCGCTTGGTTGCTGGTCGTAATCTCCTGCCATAGATCATCACACGTGCGCTTTCGCTTCTTTGTCGGTAGGTCGGGAGCACTCAATTCTGAGACGTTACATAGCTTTGTTTGCAATGAAGACACGGCGTCAATACATTTGTAAAGATCACTTATGACCTTTTCTTTTGACTGAATTGTTGTTTCATCATCAGTCAAATCTCCAACCGTCTCGTAAGCCACTGCATCCTTTATTGTGGCCAGTAGTCGCTTAGTGTAAATCTGCGCTTCAAGACATCGCTCCCAGATCAGCTTCTGGTTTCGTACGTGGACGGCCTTCTGAACGACCTTGTCACTGTTTTGCACACTTATAAGTCGTGCCGAGTCTTCCTTTTGAAAACTTCGGACGAGTAATTCGACACTATTACCCTCATCTTCACTATCCTCGGATTGATCTCTCTTTAAACCCTCCTTCACTTGCTCTTCCTCATCGTCAGATGCTCCGAACGGCTCAGCGTCCGACCACTCGGCCATCGCGTCTTCGTCCGGCGATTCCATTCCATCTTTCAAGTCCGCCCGTTTCACTACTTTTCCTGCATATTCATTGCTGCCCATTACACCTTCTGCATCCCAATTTTTCACACGCAACTCCGATACTTGCTCGCGCTGTTTGTCCATATCTCTAGCATTGGCATGCTTAAAAGACATTCCTAAGCGAGTTGCGCTCGCCAGCTCATCTTCGCAGACTGACGATGCATCTTCGTGCACTATCGCACGCGTTCCGTCGTCGAAGTCCTCAGCGTGATCGATGTTAAAAGCGTCGCTGGTCATAGTTTCGGGCTTCCTTCGCCAGTAGATGGCAAATCTATGATTGGAAGAAATCCAATTTTCCTGCTATTTACACTATTCAAATTTAAAAAACTCGATTTAGAAGGTTGTCTTCACCCTTGCAGTGCCAGTTTGGAACGTAGTCAACTCCAGAAAAGCGGTTAATGGGTATCAAAGTTCTTGTCACTGTCATGATAGTTTACCTGTGATGCGAAGGTGATCAAAACGTAGTGCTTCTGCTCTGCACGATTATGGGCGAATATGTGTCATAAAATATGTCTGTTATAAGCGCGATACGGCTGTATCGTTAGACGTTTGAGCGTTGCTGAAGCCCTTTGGACATAGAAAGCTACTCCCAAAGCATCCCTCACGGAGTAACCACTGCGGTGAGGGCTATCTGTAGCGGGACTACATGGTGCGTTCCTTGTTATAACTATTGTAAATCACGCATGTGCTGT